GACACTATGTATATTATGCATTCATTTTTTTTTTTTTTCATCAGACGAAACTATGTATATTATGCATTCATTTTTTTTTTTTTTTTCATCAGACGAAAAAGTCATTTCTATGGTTACAGAAAAGGTAAAAACAATGAATTAGACCTTTGAAAACTATTCTAGGCTTCAATGGAGATTATGAAAGTTATTTTCATTTTTATCAAACAAAAATTTTGTTTGCTCCTGACAGTGTTACAGTGATGGAAATTGTAAAAACAGTGACAAAAGATTATACATGTATACATAAGTGGGACCTCATTTTATCTCAAAATATACATAAAACTTGAGATGATGTACCATACTTTTATTTGTTCAAAAACTGTGGTTGCTATGATTACAGGAAAAAATATAAATATAAATAAACAACAAAAATGAAATTGGATACATAAGTGAGATCCTGTGATAACTCAAAATGTTAAAATTTGTTCCTTTTATTTCAAAATTATGTCAATTTTATTAAATTTACAATTTTTTTATGTCAACCATCCTAGTTATGTGCTTATTTTAAAAAATCAGAGACATTTTTTTAAGATGGGCTTGAGAACATTAAACAATAGGTGACTGCTGTATTAATGTTTTATGACAAGTTCTTCTGATGGCATGTTTTTAGTAGAAAATCCAAAACAATTGGTCTAGAATTACAAATAAGTAAAGAATCTATATACAGCGAATGTTTTATATTTTAAGATTTTGAATGACTGGAAAAAGAAGCAATATTTTCAGAAATGCATTGAGTGGGAGGTTAAGACAGGTGCGGGAACTGATTATAAATTTACAGCAGGAACCAGATGATTCCGCTGTAGTCTAATGAAATCTTTATATAGCCTATCCTGTTTTAACACAGAGAAAATGTTTCAAAACATTATTTTTTTATATATCTCGGATATTGATTATATTATTATATTATATATGTACACTGCTATAAATGTGAAATATTTAGAATATCAAGTTGTAGATTCGTTACATGAAGAGAATTGCTTTTTCGTTGAATTTTTTTCTGTTGTAGATCTAATACACATTTATGTATAACCAAGAAAAAACAAGATATTTATTCATTGTGACTTGAACCCACAACCTGCATGAACCAAAAGTGATTAGTCTTTGTTACCAGTATAGAGCCAGGTAGTCTGAGTGCGCTCTATGTGATGCTGGGAGCCCAATATTTGTATTGCAATATTGAAAACCCTTCAAATGAACTATTCCAAACTCTATCTATGTAAAACTTAACTTACTGAAAAAAGTGTTATGTTTTGTCTATGCAAAAGCCTTGAGAATACATCATTTGTTTAGGTTTTAGAGCACTTAATATTCATGGCTGGAGTTTGGTTAATCTTATAGTTGTGACTATATTTTATTGAATTGGGATCGGATGACTTATTCAACAAAACTGTGCACAAAGCTGTTTCATGATATTTATATACAATATCAATATTAAAAGCAAATTGAAATTCATTTATTTTGAAAGAAATAATTTTCTTTATTGACACTATTTTGTTAATAATTGCAAAAAAGGCATTTTTGAAAAGTAAAATTTATATACCACAAAAAAATGTCTTTCAACACATATAATTCTGCATTAGAAAGTTGATGTTAAGCTTTTGGTCATACTTTTATATAGGAGAAAAAAAACAGCATTAGTGAACTATGTGTAACCCCAGAGGAAGGCTTTCCAAAAAGAAAGTTATTTACAAGTATGTCCTGTTGGTAGTTTAGTTTTAGCTTATGATTAATTATGACAATGGTAGACATGTTGGTATATACAGACACTATTGTTGTTGACATTAGCTAAACTTGAGTATGTCTTAAGTTCCGTACAGTTATTTACTGTTTTCCTGTGATATGAATACCTCCCTACCAGCTGAGATACTTACCTATTTTCAGCTGTTTGTCGTATTAAAATTAACCTTATACCATACTATTCCCAAGCATTTCACTATTGGAAAAGCTTAAACAGTGATAGTCATATAGTGGCAAAGTGTTGAACGGTTCTGGTGCTGTTAAAGTGCTCTTTTCTGTGGCTTGGTTTAGGAAAATGACATCATTTAATATATGGAATTTGATCTTGTGTTGTTTATATCAGGAATAATATGATAGTGTGTGGGCCTTGTCTACTTTCTCGAATATTGTGGTTGATGTCTAAGAATCTTGTTATTATTTGAAACATGTGTAAAACTCTAAAAACGGTGACAGTCAATGGAAGCAATAACAGGTAGGGCTATCATGGTTTATTGGAAACTTGTATTTAATGAAGTATTTTTAGAAACAATAAATGATACATCTGTACCAAACATGTGACTCCAGTCCATATTTATGAATTGAATTTCTTTTTCATCTCCAATTTCATTCACAAATAACATGAATTGAAGGAAGGTTGTAAGATAGTAATTTTGATAAAAGTGAAATATTATCATCATCATCGTAGTTAACAAGTATTCTGCTAATTATTGTTAATAATGGGGAAATTATAATGCTATGCATTATTATTTTTATAATCTGAAAACAAATGAGACAGACTGGTATAATTGTTTAAGATGAATAGATCTATAGGTTTAATTGATAAAATGAGAAGAAAAAACATTTGGGTTTGGTCTTTTGCAGGTTATTTTTGTGCAAAAAAAGAGAAGCTAAAAAAAGAGAAGTTGAAATATTTATATATTTATATGTAAAAAAACAACAATTACAAAGAATTTGGGGCATGGCAGTTAGATGTTTTACATAGAGTTTAAGTGTAATTTGAGTAAAATTGTTTTGTTTCCTAGATCTATCCAGAAAAAAAACAACTTTTGTTTTGTCATTCAATCTATAAATGATCTAAATCTGAACTATTTATGATAAAGTAAAAAAAACTGAACTGAAAAATCTTGGTCCACAACCAAAGACGTTACTAATATATATTATTTATTGATTACACCCTCATCTCTCCCAAACCCCAACTCAAAGAATTCCTGTGTGCTTCTTGTAGATTTAACAAAAACTAAGAATAGTCAAGCATACCATTAGTGTGGCAGTTGATGTTGGTTTTCTGACAGTATTGTTTATCAATCATTACACTCATTACTTGCTGGATTGATGAATAAATTTCATATGTGACTAATTTACATGTCGGCAGCACTGTAAAATAGGAAGTAACCATTAGACAAAATAAAGCAGATCTGAATTGCTTAATACTTGGAACAGTTTAGATATAGTATAGGTATGTTATGAAGCCTGATCCGCCCACCACCTTTTACCATGTTTTTGTGTGTAATAGATTATGTCTTGCTGTGCTGCTGAAAATGATTGATGTCTGTCTCCATTTTTCAATTTTTAGCTCGACTATTTGCAGAATAATCGAGCTAATGCAGTCACCCATTTGTTGGCCTCCCTGTGGTTAAGTTTTGCGTGTAAGCAAGTATCTCCATAACACACTTGTTCTCTGTGATTATCTAACATTATTGGCACAAGTCCCATAACTCTGATTTGTTTTTTTGCATAATTATGCCCCTTTATCGGCTTAGAAATTCTAGGTAAAGTTTTTGCTTGTAAGCTGGTATCCCTATAACTACTGAAGGGTTTGTGCCTCTTTTGGAACAGTTTTATGCGTTTATAATAATAAAGCAGTGATTAACTTGATAAAACATCGTAATATTTAGCCTTTGTACCTTTTCGAACAATTTTATGTATTCATATAGGTAAGCATTATAATATTATACTCAATGAAACACCCTTGTGACAACTTTTTTTAATAGTCAAGCATTACTGTCCTCCGACAGTTCTTGTTTATTTTTGCTCCACCATAAACTTTAATACCTACTAAGCTTATACATATGGATGCACCTTGATTAATTCAACCTGTCACTCAAAAAGTCAAAGGTCATGGGGACCTGTATTAACAAAAATATCAAAGTGCAGAGTCAAGTGGACTTTGTCTGTTATTTTATGTTTCTTTCAGCACATTAATTAATGTAAATATCTCTTTTATCACCTATGATGCTCTAGTTTGCCTTGTTTTAAATTGAAAGTGAATGTTGGAAAATATTGTGAACTTAATATAAATTAGTTCATTAAAATGGCAGTTCATGTCCTTAGGTTTTGCATTTGTTTGATAGCAAGACTGGCAAAAATTTCTGTTTTACATTAATTTGTATAATAAATAGGTAAGATACATTAATATCTACACAAATCATTATCAATTAAGTTTACATGGAAAGTACATCTTGAAAAAACTGAGACATAAAATGTTAGAAATAATGTCACACCAATACATTGTGATATCCATCCTATCAGTAAGCAGAGTTCAGTACAGTAGCTAAGTTGATATGCAGTTGTTTGGTAAGAGTAAGCCTAGCCCAGATTGCCTTGCCCGCAACAAACAAAATAAAAATTAGTTTTATGATAGTATTTTGTGACTTGTGTCATAGTTTGGGGACCTTTCTGTTGAAAATGCGTCAAGAGTTAAAATGTATACTTACATGCAGTGCGTTAACTGGCGTGCAGGTATTAGTTACCCGCACTCCAGAGCATGCCCATTGATTGGCTCATCTTTGCTGGGGTTTACTAATTGTGGCGGCAGAGAAAGGGAAGGGAATAGAAATATCTTATTCAGATGCTCGTTCATTGGTTACTGTTTTCAGGGGTTTCATATTGTGACAACAGGGAATGTATTTTTATGTTTGACTATGATACAAAAGAGAAAGAACATCCAAACACTCAGCATTCTGATTAATACTGGGGGGCTACGCCCCGTCGTACAAAACAGATAGCCTCGTGTTTGGATGCTCTTTCTATTACTTATTATACCAATAATATGGGTAAAATGTGGTTCTGTCAAATGTTTCATTACTCCCGAATTGATAAATTTTGATCCCTCGAACAAATCTGCATTTGGGGTATCCTGCGCCACCTATGCAATGCTTTGGTTAATAAAATCTTGAGGTATATTTTGAAAGTGTAATAAAGTGATATTCTGGTGTCTGTTTCAGTGAGGAGGAAGGAGAGAAATATTTGATGTTAGAAGAGCATCAGAATGCCAACAGGCACACAGACAACACTGTTCTAATGCTACCTGATAATCAACATCATCCTCAAGATATTATAACACAGTGTCCAACTTCTGGTGCAAAAATTGTTGAGCTTGAAGAGGAAAATCTAGAAAAAACTGCATGTCTTAATGGCGAACTTGATGGACAACCAGCTGCAGCTCAGCAGATGACAAATAGTTCAGTTACATCTGGGTCACAGTGGAATTCAATGGTGACAATGACTGGTTTTCAACAAAGTAGCGATGGAGTTGTTCCACCTCAAGACGTGACTAGTACAGATGTATCAAGTTTACCACTAGCAAGAGTAGCAAACAGTCAGTGTGACATGACTACCCAGATCTCACAACCAGTAATGGCACATATTCCTGATGTACACATGGCTCAGTCCACAGATCCAATAGAGGACAATATTGATAGTACAATTTCAGGTAATAAAAGTTTGTATGTTGTAATCTATGTAGTTGTAAACCTTTTTTTCCAAGCAGAAAGCAGTGAGACTTGATGATTGAAAGTATGAAGTTCTCATACCATTATAAAGGGAGATAATGTAGTCACAGGGGAAGATATCATAAGAAGGGGAGATAATGTAGTTAAAGGGAAAGTAACCATAAGAAGCACAGATAATGTGGTCTAATGGGAACAGATTATCATAAAGGGAGATAATGTAGTCTAATAGGAACACATTATAAGAAAGTCCAATGGGAACAGATTATAAGAAAGGCTAATAATGTATTTTAATGGGAACACATTATAAGAAAGTCTAATGGGAACAGATTATCAGAAAGGGATATAATGTAGTCTAAAGGGAACACATTATAAGAAAGTCTAAAGGGAACAGATTATAAGAAAGTCTAATTGGAACAGATTATAAGAAAGGGAGATAATGTAGTCTCATTAGAAGGACAAATATCATTCTGTGTGTGGGGGTGTGGGGAACATATTTTGGAATTTGAGGAAATGTTGTGCCTATGGAATATCTTATAGAAAGGGGAGATAATATTCTTTCATATAAAGAGGAGATAATGTACTGTACCTGTTGAACATATGTTTAGGTAAAGAGATAACATGTAAAGGGGACATATGAGGAAATTAAAGATGAAGTACTTTTAAGGGGAACATAACAAGAATAAGAGTGATCATGTTCTCACAGGGAAACATTTTATAATAGAACAGGCCATGTTCACTAAGGGGAACATATAGGAATATTACAGATTATGTGCTCTCCCAGGAACATATGAGAAGGGAAGATAATGAAGTTTCCAGGAAAGAGATCAGAGATGATATACTATCTTTGCAGAAAATTATCATTAGAAGGGGAGATAATATAATCTGAACGTCTTTAAAAAAAACACAGTCAGTGTACAATTGGATGGTAAAGTTTGAAACAAGAATGCTCCTTAGGAGCAAAATATTTCGAATTTTTTTTTTCTAACTGGCAAACAGTTTCAGATTGTTCAGAATGAGCTTTCATCCTATAAAACAATTCAGAAAAAGCACACCTGACCAAAATAAAGGCTATATTGCTTGAAATGATTGAATGAGACAAAGACAACGAATTGCCATGATGATCATGAATTGTTTTTAATTCAATAAGAAGAGAAATGTTTTGTTGTATTATATTACACCAGCTATTATCACAATTATTTTATATTATTACATGGTAAGCGGTAAAGCAGTTTTATTGCCATACCTTTTGTTATTCTCAATTCTGATTGGCTGGAACATTTCTTGGTTATGAATGAAAATTCTGTGACAGCATCAGTTGTATATTGATTTTAAACTTGGTTCCACTTTTCTGTATAAAAAGTATGACACTATTTTAAGCTACTTCAGACCACCATGGTTACTGAATCTATTGTGAAAAATAAAATTCTGGCTACATATATATAAAATGAGTAAGACATTTATAAAACGAACAAACATGGTTTAGTTTGCATTGTGACATGTGGCAACAACGATATAACTACTACTACGGTTATTGCAATGGAAATGGATACCAATTTACACCTAGATGTATTAGTATTTTTTATTCAGTTCCACTTTGGATTTATTTTTAGTGTTTTCCTGGACATTTTTATTTTAAAGAGATTTTAAAGTTATGAAATATTTCTTAAATTGGATAAATTTTTATTATATCATTTAGTATATTGGATTAATAGTTAAAATTTTGGATTAATAGCTTAAAATATTGTTGTTCTTGTTTGTTGTTGTGCTTGTTTCTGTAATTAAAATTTCTTAAGCTAAATTTAGGGAGATTTTGTCAAATTAAAGGCAAAAATTAATGCAGTAAGTAATTTGGTCCGATTTGGAAGTAACTTTTTTTTAGAAAATACATATCATATACATTGTATGTTTTCCTGTTCTGGTGAAAGCCTGTATTTATAAAGGAGATAATTTTGTATAATTAATATGCTAAAAACCATCTGCAGATTGTATTGAAACTTTATAGAAATGTACATTTTCTGGCTAATGTAACTTAGCTAACTTATGTGAAGATCTGTTTACTTAAAGAATACAGTATGGGTAAACTGTTGATGCATACAGACCCTGATCTATATGTGTCATGTCAATATCCATTGTAACTGCAGGCTTATTTGGCTCAGTAGAGTTCATGTTAGGGGTTCAGACCTTTGGTATAAGTGATTTGTAACCTTACATACATGATATGATGTTTTGGACACACAATAAAGTGTCGTCATGGGCATTTTTTGACAGATCCTTTTGGCATTGTGGCTGTTTTGTTCAGTTTCTGCCATCACCACCACCTTTTGTTTATAGCTCGCTAAGCACAACATGCTCATGGTAAGTCTTTGTGGTCCCCCTCTATCAGTTGCCCCGCATTGTGCGTCATGAACAATTTCTTTAAACAACATCTCCTCTTAAACTAATAACTGCAATGGAATGATTCTCAGGGGGCCCCCTTTCAATGTTGTTCAACTGAATCTGGTCTAGTTTCAAAAATGCAAATCTTGAAATTCAAATCTTATTTGAAAGTACAAGGCCCAAAGCTTTGGTATATTTGGTATATGATATCATCTATACATCCTCTACCAAAGTCGTTCAAATTTTGCCTCAAGTGTCAAAATTGGGTGGGTGAAGGTTCATAGATTTTGCTTATATATAAGTAAGTTATCCTGATCAGGAGACATATTTGACAAGGGTCATAATTAATATCCATATTGAACTCACCTGAGCTGGCTCAAACATGGGAAAACCTTGTAAACATTCTAGAGGCTATTGCTTTGGTCCAAATATCTTTGAAATTGGTCAGAAAAGTTGTTTAGATGTATCTAGAATACATTAGATTATCGGTCACCTGGGGTCAAATACTAAGTCACACAGCCCAAATGTGGAAAAACTTTGTTTAAACTTTAGAAATAACATTTTCAGCAAAACTGTCCTGGATATTGGTTAGAAAGGTAGTTTAGATGATTTCTAGGTTAAGTTTAAATATGGGTCAACTGAGGACAAAACTAGGTCAAAGAGCCTTAATATGGAAAAAACTTTGTTAACACTCCTGAGTTCAAATATCCTGAAAATTGTTCAGAAATGTTATTGAGATTACTTCTAGCTCAAGATCTAGTATGGATTATCTTGGGTCAAAAACTAGGTCACACAGCCCAAATTTGACAAAAGGCTTGTTAACACTTATAACCCACCCACACATTAGCATCAGCATTGGTTTACCTTTATGGTGAAGTTTTTGTTTATGCTCATTAACTTCAATTATTGAAATTTTGTATGTGGATGCATCTTGTCAGACAAGTTCTAAATGCCTTACCCAATATGAGGGAAAAAAGGTCAAGGTTCATGTACCTGTAATAGGTTAAGGTATACAGAGAGTTCAAACTTGTTCAATATCAAAATGTGACAGGCTGATTATCTTACTGTTATATGTAACAAAGTTATGCCACCTCTTTTTTTTTTAAGGTAAGTCTCACAAAAACTGTCAAAAATATTCACTTTTAAGTTGGAATTCTTGTTCACAATCAAATTTGGAATCTATTTCCAAAAGGCAAATAACTCTGTTTGCCATTTTTGCTTAATAATCTCCCTTTATTTAGTTTTGAATTTATCATATATCATATATAAATGAAATACATGTCTATAATTACATATATTTGTTGTTTCAGATCCTCAAGTCGCAGACTCTGTGCAAGCTTGCAGCCCTGATGGTTCATCAGGTGCATACCAAAGTTCGCTGTGTGTACATCGCTCTAATGAACATTACATTAATGGAATGGTTGATCAGACAATGGGTGCTAGCTGTTCCAGTAGCCATAGTGATGATGCTGGCTATGAAAGTGCGAGCAGCCCCTATAACGGGAGCTATTTCAGCCCACAAATGGTGTCCCCCGTATGTAGTTACAATAATGGGAGTGATCCAGGATATACCCCTGATATAAATAATAGAAATGGTTTGATTCATGGACAAAACTGTTCGTTAGGTGTTGGATATGGTCAGGCAGTATCATTTAATCAGGCTGGTGATATGCTGCAGAGAGAACAGCCAATGGATGTTCTCCCTGATTCAAATACAGAATTCTCTAATCCTGTTCTGGATGAAATTCTTCAGTCATTAAACCAGACCACAACAGACAATTTGGATGTGAATATGGCTCTTGTTTATTCTTCTATTGAAAGTTTGACAAGTAAAACACCATCCTCCATAGCAACAAGCGTAATGAATCCAGTAGAAACTAAATTTCACCAGGTGAAACCAGTTACTAAAACAAGGAGTGCAGTTCCATTTCAGCAGAAGAAGCAGTTGGAAAAAAGGACTGATAAGCCATTGTTACGGAGTTTTCTTACTATGCCAAAAGAATCAATTCCCAGTCAGCCACTTGGTGGATTTATACAAATGCGTAATAAAAAGGAGGAAAATCTGTCATCTTTTGCTAAGGAAGGAAATGGCCCTGTTGCAAAACAAGGGAATACAAGTGCTCAAACTCAAAATAATCAAATTCCGACTTGCAAAAACAATATCAATAGGTGTAATGGTGACGGATCAATTTCAGATTGTGCTAATGGCCAAATGGATAATAATGATAATGAAGCATTGGATTTTGACGAGATTCCAGAATACGCCCTTCAGTACCTTGTGAATGACTTTACTGATGCCCAAGCACAAGCTTTGATAGCAGATTTACAAGGTGAAGGGGGTTTACAGAATGATTCTTTCATGGACACTTCAGAAAGTGACTTTACTAAGGACTTTGTGAGTTCTCTGGAAAATCAGAGCATGATGGCTAATGTAAGTACTGAAAGTACTGGGTTCAACTCTTTCACTGGTTCTCAAGTATGTAGCAATATTCCAAATTCTCAGTGTAAGACACAGTGTTACTCATTTGGTAATAGCACAAAATGTAACTCCACACAACAGCATAATTTGAATTCTAGGTCAAGTGGTGCATCAATGGGAAGTTACTGTGAAGTTAGTTCTGGACATGATCACGTTTATCATCAGTCAATGAGTCGATTAAATGGCCAAAATAGACAAAGGTTTCATAAATTACCGGAGAATCGCGGAGGATGTAATAAACTTTCCAGTGGACAGAATACGTGTCATTCACAGACTCAAACTTCAGAACATTGCATGTCAGAGTTGGAACGTCATTTAAGGAACAAAAAATTGACTTCTCGGGACATGACTTTAAACAGAGTCCAAAATGTCTGTATTATGAACTCTGAAAAACCTTTCCTTCAGCAACTTCTGACAGGGGAGCTAACTAATGACATGTACATGAAAATGGAACGTAGTCGGTTTGATATTAAGAAATGAGAGGATTTTACAAAACATATCATAGTTACAGAAAATTGTTCTTGTTTGTACAGTCAGTGTTTAATTCAAGGTCATGTGAGCCCAACTAAAATACATATACATGGATAAGAAAATTTGTTGAGTATTTCTGTATCATTCATTTTAGTTGGACTTCAGTTCATTTGTTTGTTCATTTTGTTTAATTATTGCTCATTCACATGTATGTTAGGAAAGTATTTTATTGATGATGATATCAATTTTCCTAATTCCCTGGAACAACTGTAGAATATGAACTATTTTTGTATGTAAAGATATTTCAGAAAGCCACATTCCTCAAATTTCAGTTCTGTTAACAAAAACTATTAATATCAGTAAATGATCACAAAAGTACAAAAAATGTTACAAATATTTTCTTTTCATATTGACACATATTGCCTATATCTATATGTTCACAAGTGTTTAGAGGTAAATTTTAATCGGCTATTAACACCAGTTTGGAGTTTTGATGCGTAGGAATTAACTATGAATGCTGCAGGCCTAAATAGTTAATTTTTTCAAATTAAAAATGACGAACAGTGAGCCAATAAATACTGCTCAGACCATTAACAAGACAAAGTAGCGGAGATCACTAATACTATTTTTTTCGTTGGCGATTTTCATTTCTGGCAGTTCTATTCAGCACCCTTCTGTAGCTAAAGTAAAAAAGAAACAAAAGTATAAGAAAAAATTCAATGTCATAAATATGTTTATTTGTAATAATTGTATTAAAAATTTCAACTTGTGTATCAGACTTGAATGTACATGTATAGTGTTTACATCGGTGCTAAATAAATCAATCTTCATTATCATCCATGTTAGTTTATATGATGTCATTCTGGCACCTTTTGTAAACAAGTGGCATACTTGATGATGTCATTACAAGACTCATGAAAGGTCATATATGATAACTGATATTGATAAAGATGAAATTCAAAACCTGCTGCTTTAAGTTTATACGAGATGTTATTTAGAATTATATGTAAGGACAGAATAATAGGTACTATATTATTTATCATGGTGCCTTTGTTAGAAGGAGTAAATAAATGTAAAGAACAGCCAGTGGTTATTGGCAGTTTTACACTGGTTATTTTCTTCTTTGTGTAAAGTGACAAAATCATGAGTTATGTTAGAATAATTCGTTAACTTGTGTCAATTCAGACAAATGTATTTATTGTAATGAGCATCATGTCATTGAATTGTAAAAATACCAGTTTTCTCCTAGTAAGGTCAAATGGTTAGTAGAAATATCATATGTTCTTATATTTAAGGCCACAATAACGTGCATATGGATTGATATACTTTCTTTCTTGTAACTGTCACATATTGTATTGCAGTGTTTTTTTTTTTAAGGAATCATAATATATCTTTTAACGGTTGATGGTCCCAATCTGTTTATCAAAATTTCCAAACAAATCACAGGATGGAATCAGACAGTAAATTGAATATTGATTACTTACATAAGTGTGTTGAATATACTAAATAGCAGATCATTTAAACAAATGTAATTTAGAAGTCATGTTGCTTAAAATGTTCCATCATGTTGCTTAAAATGTTCCAGAGAATTCCTATTGTGTTTGTTGATTGTGAAATTTGTTAGCTTATTTGTGATATGAATGTGTTTATTTAGATGTGTTGTATAATGTAGCATATATTTATGTCAGGTAAAAGCATGCATAGCTTGACTATACAAAAGTATATGGAGAGCTGTGTGACTCGTCCAGTGTCAACATCAGCTTCCAGATTTTAGATTAAAGTTTTTGTGCAGTAAAATATTTTTCACTTCTTTATTGCTTTAGGTATCAACTTCAAATATATGATTCTTATCACTAATCACATCTCATACGACAAGGTGCATTACTCTAGAAGCAATTTTTCGAGAATTATCTCCCCTTGAACTTAAAAATGTTATTTTTTACTGTAATATGCTTTGTTATTTTCAATAGTGTCTACTCATGACTTAAGATGATTGTTCTTTGTCATTACTCACATCATGTATGACAAGGTTCATAACTCTAGCATCTTTATTTCAAGAGCTATTTCTTTGAACTTATAATTTTTACTTCAAAAACTTAATATACTACTTGTTCTTATCATTTTGTTACTGTAGGGTTGTCTTCAGATTTCAAATTGTTGTCTTTTCCATTAGAGCATAGAAATGTCTGTATGTCTGTTTAACTTTTATTGACATTGTCGCATGCATATTATGTGACGCAAAAAATTAGAACATTTGAGTGCTTTTATGATACTGATACAGAAATATATTTATACATAATTAATTTTTTTTTCATAGTTTTACAATCCTTTACTGCGAACAATATTTAATTAGTCAAGCATGCTGTCTTCTCTGAATTTTGAAATTTAAAAAAAAAACAAACTAGCTTATCTATGATAAAAACTTTGGAAGGATAGGTGTATATGAAATCTTCTGTAGTCTTCTAATTATGTGCCCCTGAAAGCTGTATGTTCAAATCTCTATAGGGCTATGGAATGTTGCCATTTTGGAAACTATCCAGCAGAAGATAGTGGAAACTTGAGGAAAAGTCATATCAACCAATTATTACTTTAAGAGAAAATAGGATTGTTTTTACATGCTCAGATGGTGTATATATGATATAGTGTAATAATGTCTTATTTATAGAGAAAATAAAGAATAGTTTTTTGTTTTCTTGAAATATAAGAGATAGCTCTGCATAACTGATAAATATCATGTGTCTGTATGTTCTAGTATAGTAACTTATAGTAAATTACTGAAACACGTTTTCTTGTTTACAATGATGTGAAGAGCGATTTTTTTAGGAAGTTTTTAGTTTTAAAGTATAAAAAAGTGTTTTAGCTTGTGCACTTTTACTGGATACATTTTGTTCTGTATTGTTATATGTTATTTTACTGATGTAGATGAGCATCATTGTAGCAATATTATTTATTTTTTATATTTCAATGTATTTTATTCCTACCTGTAAATGATCAATTTTTGAGACAGCTACTTAAATTTTTAAACAAGTTAGGAAGTTGTAATGTTTCTGATTTGTACACATTTTCTTTTAATTAAGCTTTATAAAGTATAGAGAGTTTTAGATAATCATACTTTGTTTACTGAATAACATTATGTGACCTTTTTGTACTCTCTTAAATTTGTTGTCATGATTAAGAAATAAATGTTATATTTATTGTGAATACGACTCATTTGACATGATTTTTGTATTTGTTGTTGATTTTAAATATTGATTATATTGTTCAATTAAGGACATGGTTTCACTGGTTAATAGTTTAAGTTAATGGCCGAAGGAAAGATAAATCAGTCAAGTCGGGTATAAGTTAAAGGTAAAAGTTACTTTATTAAGTTGAAGGGACAAATGTTATAGACCTTTTTACGACATAAAGTCAACATAAAGTGATATGAGTGATATCTATTTACTGCAATAATCTGATTATTTCCTAGAGAAATATAGAAGACTATTGGCTATGTAATAGATATACTGAAAACAGTTAAATGCTAAGATTCCATATTATGTTTGCCTGGAGCTTCTCAGATTAAAAAAATAAGTAGTAGTTGACTCATAACTTATACATTGACATAATAAAGATTGAACCCTCTTGTTTAGATCCTTGATATAAGATAACTCCAACTTATAACTATAACATTGACATAATAAGGCAACTTATAACTAATACATTGACATAATAAAGCAACATATAACTAATACATTGACATAATAAAGAAACTTATAACTAATACATTGACGTAATAAAGCAACTTATAAGTAATACATTGACATAATAAAGCAACTTATAACTAATACATTGACATAATAAAGCAACATATAACCAATACATTGACATAATAAAGAAACTTATAACTAATACATTGACGTAATAAAGCAACTTATAAGTAATACATTGACATAATAAAGAAACTTATAACTAATACATTGATGTAATAAAGCAACTTATAACTATTACATTGACATTATAAAGAAACTTATAACTAATACATTGATGTAATAAAGCAACTTATAACTAATACATTGATGTAATAAAGCAACTTATAACTATTACATTGACATTATAAAGAAACTTATAACTAAAACATTGACGTAATAAAGCAACTTATAACTAATACATTGACATAATAAAGACTGAACCCTTTTGTTTACACCTCTGTTATTACCCTTAAATGATCAATGTTAATAAAACTTGGACTTGTTGTCAGCCACACTTCTTATTATTGTAAGAATCTAAATTAAAGCTAGAATTTGTTTAGGAAAAAATATATTCTTGCATCATACGAGTAATTGGGTTATTATAAACATTTTAACAGTCAAATTTTTTAATTGTCCTAAACTGCTGCTCAGTTAGTTCTTTGCTCCATTTCTCAGATTGGAGTATATGAAATAATGGCAGGAAATAAAACAACTTTATAGTTTGAGAGATGAATATTTTTTTTTAGGAAAATGTAAAGCTTATGTGAATAGCCTTGTTCTTTTAAAGTAAATTGGGCTCCAAGTGGAATGTGGAAAAAAAAATTCAAAACTGTCAATGTTCAATTTAGGCCCTGTTTGAAAGAAGAAAAAGGTGTAATATTGAAATTTGGATCATAAGTTAAAATATTATTTTAAAACTTTAAAATAATGTTCCTCAGGATATTGCATGGATAGTTTTCTTCAGGTCAGGAAGTATGATGTAGAAAATTGCTACTCTTACCTCCCTAGTCATAATTTTGTTGTAATTTGACATAACCACACATTAATGTACATTTATGTCAGTGATTAAAATATTTTACTTTTATGAGCAGTACAAATTTGATAACCACCTGAACACATGGTGCTCATGAAATTTTATCCATTGTAATGATAATTTAAAACGTTTCCATTAGTACAAGACGTTGGAGCTTTGATATTCAGCGTGTATCATTGTAAAATGAACCATTAACAAATTTGTTAAAGTCATTACCCTAACGTAACATAATTTTTATGTGGCAAAAAATTTTCTCTCCCTTAACTGGAAACCTAAAGCATAGATATTTGGTGTGTAGCATAACTAGCAGTTAGTCAAAATTTGCTTTGCCTCAGGGTCACATGAATTTATAGTTTTACATATCTTTAAAACATTTGTTCTCCCATTAACTTTCAGCTTACATATTTGGTGTGTAGCATTTTCTGGTGGATCTCAATTAGTTGTGTTCCAATCATGTCTTATTGGCCCCATCCTGACAGATAACTGTTATTTTTTTTTTTGTTGAATTATCTCCCTTTTTTACAAATTATTGTCATTTTCTCCAAAAAAATCACAGGTATACACTTTAAACTTGAAATACTGTTGTTAACTACATTTGTATCAGCACTCTTGCAGAATTATCATTGCCCAGAAGACCTTTACAGAAGTAATATAAATCATGCATCTGGGCCACTCTATGATCACTATAATGTTACATGGACCTTTTATAGGAAACTAACATTTAAAAATGTCCCTCTCCTCAGAATACCCAGAGCTTAGAGGTTTTATATGAAGTATAATCATGTGATTCTAAAGTAAAGTAATATATCATTTCCCTTTTGCCTAGAGGTTAGATATTTGGAATGTAGAATTGCCTTGTGGACAACTTAATGGATTTCAGTTCAGTGATCTAAGGCAGTCAGGACCCTTTGTATAAAAAAGGACTGATCCCATCATGCATTAAAGGATTGCATTCTTGCAAAGGGGTAAAATACAACTAAAAAAAAGACACATTTTGCTTTGTCTGTTTGACAGCAGTTTAATTTTTGTTTTTGTATGTACCTTAATGGCTAAGATATAGATGCCAAAAAAGGTATATTGGTGAAAAACAACATATTTTCCTTTTGTGCAAGGCATACTGTTAGTTTTGATACTTGGTATTATTAATAATACATGTATCATAATTGAGTAATCCGGTACAAAGTTTATTTTGAAATTATGACCCTGATGACAATAACAGCCCCATTGATAGAGTCATCATTGTTAAAAAACTTGAACAATCTTACTATCAGAGATCATAAGGCTTAGAGGCTGTCAAATATAAGACAACAAATTATACATTATCTACAATTCTTAGTCAGCACTGCTGGAACTTTCAACTGGAGATTAATGGGTGTTCTGTGTATAATTTGTGAGATCCTTGCCATGCTTCAAATTTAGATTAATTCATCATTTTGTTAAGGGATTTCAACATCAATTGATCAGGAAAACTATTAGAATCTGGAAGGACCCATATTCAAACTAGTGCAAACAACATCCTGATCAAGTCGGGTGACAATTGAGGCCACTTAAGAGTGTTAATGACCTCGATATGAATGGACGACAGACAAAGGACATTAAACAATCCTAAAAGCTCACCTTGAGCTAAAAAGGATATAAATTATGACCCAGGTCAAATTTGTGTCCAGTCTAGGAAAACTTTTGTTACACTTGTATAGGAAGATGACTTTCCATTACCTAGCTAGTAGTTCTCAACAAAAGTAATATAAATAACTACCTTGGGTCAAAAACAACCATGCCTGAAGGTTATTTCTTGCATAGCAGACTGGCATTTCTGTAAGTTTTATGCCGGAAATTTCATCTGGCATGGGGGGTGCCAGATGAGTCGCGTGCTGTACAATGGCACGCTTTGGATGACGTCATTTTACCGTTATGAATGAAGTTGAAAAATGGGCGGGTCACCTCGGGACGGATATTCCGATCCGAACCGCAACATATGACAGATATTATTATTCTTGCAGAAGCTCAAAATTTCAATATTCAATGTAAGTTAGCATTTTCTAAGCTTGATCACATATAGAATATAACCTTTTACATTGGATAATCTTGAATTTGACCTTGACACTTGACCTATATTTGAATTTTTAAATGGAAGACCTCTAATACAGTCAAGTTATTTGAACTTTAACATGCAATGGTCACAAAGTGAACCAAGTGACCTACTTTAAGAGTTTTGAGCATCAATTTTCAAATCTGAATGACTTGTACTTTCTGGTTGTGAAAATATTTTGAAAATTCTATAGATCTCAGTGGAGTAATATAATGCTATCTTGTTTTAAAAAATTACACCATTATATTGACAAGTAATTGAAGAAATTTTGGGATACAGATAGGCCTTTCAAATTAAATCTAATCATGTTACTTAAAATTGGTATTGTTAGTGATCACAAAATGTTGGGAACGTTTGTTATCACTGGGAAAAAAATGCAAATATAATAAAGTGTAATAAGTCAGATTAGATAAATATTATGTCTTCTACAAAATATTGATATATATATATATTTATTATAAGCTACAGCCTTAAAGCAAATTTTTTACAGTAAAAATCTATTATATTTAAACCAACAAGCCAGTGATGTGCTGATCCCTTTAAGGTTTTTCTTTCATATTTTGTAACCGTGTGTTAGAAGTTTTATTGACATGTAATTTATTTTTGTTTGTAAGTTGACTCACTCTTCACTTTTATTTAATAAGACATGTAAATGAACTTCACTGTGAAAACATTTATATTTTATAATGAAAACTTACAATCATTTCTAAAGATTTATTGGTGGAAATATTCTCTAAGTTCTTGTTTATAATACCGAGAAACACTTTTTGTGGTCAGTTTTAAATTTTGTTTTTATTCTGTATATTACAGATAATGCTCACAAGAATTTTGATTTAATTTAAAGAGTTTTATAAAAAGTGAGGCACATTCCAAGTTGAACATTTTCATTTGTTTTGTTTAGTAAGTTATTTTAGTGCTGTGATTTTATCAGATTTATTTGATAAAACTGTTTGAAAGGGGTGCTAGATACTGTTTTAAATATAAATAATGTAGTAAATTTATTTTAAAGTAAATTTTTACGAAATTTCTTGTACATTTTTGTTGATGTAGATCCTACTTCTACTGTTTTAAATATGTAATAAACAATGGGAAGAAATTGTCAGTGATTAATTAATTGTTATTTATGCTCAGAAATTTGTTGTTTAACCTATTTGTCCATTGGGGATTTTATATATCAATGAAACTGTCGGGACTTTATACAAAACTCAACACTAATTTTGACATTATTATGGTGAAAAATGTGTACCTTAGATTCATAAAGACACATTTATAGCTGTGAACTCTTTCAATTAATTAAAACAAAAGCAGGCAATCTAAGAAATTATTGACATGAAATATGTTTAAACTTTACACTTAAATTGATGATCTTTTAAAGGAAATAATGTAAGTTTTAAAGTTAGTCTTACATTGTGTCATAAGGTCCTGTTTTAGATGGTATATCTAAGAAAAGTTTGGGATTATTCAAATAAAATTTGTAAAATTATGATATAAATTACATCCCTATACAAACAGTGGAGATATGACCTGTAATACTAACATGCTATATACAATAAACTATATGACTGTTACTTGATTCATATATCAGAAAATTAGTCTTTGTTTCAGCATAATGAAATGTTTTTCACTCTGAAGTGTCATAATTCTAACTTACATTAAGTTCAAATTATGCACCTTTAATCTTTCTTGTTAAACTATTTTTGAGAAACAATGGATGTTGAGGTCAAGATTATAAGCAGAATTATAATATTGCCAATGCAAAGAAACATAAACTTTTAAGTTTTTTTTGTGTTGTTTATTAATGCTCCTTTTAAAATAATTTAGTTTGCTGAATATTTTCAATATTTGCCACCATTAGATAAGCTTATATCTTAATCCAAATAAATATGTTTTCAAATGACTCTCTATCTTTACTGAATGAGTTTTATGTGGAAAAAAAGAGATCATAATTATTCTTTACAGGTATTTTTACCATATAAAATAAATGAACACTCTCACCTAATGTCCTTTACTAACTGATTGTGAGATACAAATTCTCAGAATTACTTGTTATACATTATTTCTTGTATTAGTTGTAAATACTGTATTATACATTGTTAAATCATTATACAATAGCATTATACATCAATGATAATAATTTTGATTGCTGTTAGAGGAATTTAAAAAATACGGTGTGTTTTTGTTTTATTATTGATTATAGAATATAAACATCTTGATATTATTGTTTAGATATTGTTTGATTGTGATACAAGAACTTAATTAAAGTCTATGTTTGTATTTTCAGTGTTGTTCAGTTTTTATCCCATAATTATTATCACCTATACAGATGGATGTATGCTGTCTTGTCCTCTGGCTCTGCATTCACTTTCTTTAAGCAACATCTTGTTTTTTACCAGATGGTCAATTTGAGGTGACCTTCTTCAAAAGTAACCGCCTCCATGGTTGAGGGGTTAAAGTCGATGACTTCTAATCCAGTTACCTCTCTGACGTGAGTTTGATCCCGGGAGATGCTTTGGTAGTTTAGCGCCAAGGAAGGTAGTCTAGTACTGGTGTAACTCTCCAGGAACGATGGTTAAGAAACTACCCACCTATATGACTGAAATACTGTTGGAAAAAGGCGTAAAATGAAACAAACAAACAAAAAATTCTACAAAAGTAGTATACATGTAAATAGTTCCAGTTTAATGCATTAGTATGACTTGAAAATGAAACTACACTTTAACAAGAACATGTTTGGTAAACACAAATTCCCCCAGCCCACGTCCAGATTTTTATCAAGTCTTAACCTAAATATAAGGTGGCATGTCATTGCTATTTGATGAAGTTATAAATATTCAACTTACCAACGAAAATTTATCAAATATGTATAAATGCAAGTCCACTCAAAGGACCAACTAAGGTATATTCCTTTTAAATATGAGAACCTTGATAAATAAGAACACAAGAAAGGCTGTATTTGAAAAAAGTGTATAAATTCTATTGTTAGCACAGATCCTTGACTTTGTGACTCCAACACTGAGCCACCCAGGGCATGCCCCTTCCAAATATGAAAAATACCATCAATAGGTAAAAAGGCTATGTATGCAAATGTGTAGAAATCTATTTTTGGTACCCTTAGCCGTGACCTCTAACCCAATCCAAAGGAAAAAGACTACAACAGTTATCTTCCTACTAAATATGAAAAACATCAATCAGTAAATAAAGGCTATACAAGCAAATAAGTAGGGATCTATTATTGTCACCCTTGACCCACTGACCCCTTATCCAATTCAAAGGAAGAAGACTATACAAGTTATCTTCCTGCCAAATAAATAAAGGCTTATGAGCAGAATTGACCTTGACCCAACTGACCCATAACTTCATCCAAAGGTAGAAGACTTCTCAATTCATGTTCCTACCAAATATAAAAGACATCTGTCAATAGATGAAAGCTACACCTATAAAAGAGTAAAAATCCATTTTGGGCATTGGTGACTTTGACCCAAATGACCCCTAACTAAACCCACAGCAAGAGGACCTCCTAGGCATGACCATATTAAGCATGAAAGAAATCAATGCTGTATGAGCAAATATGTATGTATTCAGTTACATTGACCTTGACCTCAGTGACCCTTTACTTTAGAAAAAAATGTTAGACGACCATTTACACACAATCGTGGTAAACAACAGATAGCTCTTTTAGAGGTGTACAATCTTTCGCTACTTCCAGCTATTGCATGTGTCAACAAAGATATAATGTTGTCTTATAATATAGTTTTTTTAAACTCGGCAATTGAAGAATGCTATACCATTTAGATTTAATTATACATATAGTTTTTAGGGAACATAAAGTCCTTAGTTGATGAATTAATGCTTGAATTGTAGCCACAGCGGCGCTTCTCATTTAGTGGATTTACATAGTGACTGATTTGGAACGCTTTTTGTGCGTCGTGTTGGCGCTAGGGCCAAACGGCGCATTGTAGGACTTTCGTCTTATCTTTCTGTCGATGTTGTCGTGCGGCGTGTTGTCACGATGTCACATTGATGCTCGTTTCAAATCGAAAGATTGGCTTATAAGCCAGGGACAGGGCGACAACACGCCGCACGACAAAGCGCCGTTTGGCGCGCTTCCGCTAGAGACAGGACGACAAGACAACATTACATTATGCCCATCTTGGTGTAAATGGTCAATGAACAGAAAAAAAAAGAACTTGACATTTTGCCATAACTCTGTTCAATTTTATATGCTGTTATAAAAAAATAATTACTATTGCACGTTACCAATGGAAATTTCTATAAATATCACTCCGAAAGTATCAGTAACGTACAATTCTTATAAGAGTGGGGCAGTCTTTTTATTATTTAAATAGTTTTTTATATTGTATCATAAAGATATTTCAATATCAAAGATTGGTCAATCAAGATTATAATAGTAAATCTTTTGAAATATATTACTAATTGAACTCAACTTGACAGCAAAATAATGAGCATAATGTCACTTTTAACCATCAGGCGACACATTAATTCTGGCTTCCAAAACTTTATAAGCCGCTCTTTAACATTTTTGTTTTTCATCTGATGCGGCATTAAAAATACGTCACGTTCACGTCATGTCATAGTATATAAACGGGTACGCTGAAGACCTTAAGCTAGCGACACATGTGTGATCACAGATCGCTCTTGTCCGATCAGAGGGAAAAAGAGATACTCGCCGAAGTAAAACTGGTTAACATGCGTATGTTATTTCTAAGTTTTCCATACATATATAAATGTTAGCAATGCTTGCATGACAATAACATGATCATTTCTTCTTGAAAAATAGAACGCTTTAAGATGTATGTGTTCCTATATGAACATGTCATGTTTCGGTATCTTGCAGATTATATATTTAAATACTTGATTTATATGCAAAAATATATGTAAATTATATACATTATAACAATTTAAGACATCAATGATCATATAATATATTATATACTTATGGAACATCATAAACTGATGATACCTGATAAGTTGTTTTGAGTTTTTTATATCTTCACGTGCATGAGTAAAACTTACAGAATCATAACCTATATTGGTGGTCTGTTATTTTGGACAAAATTTATAACTCAAATATAACTTGTGTAAAAAAAACTCAATAAGTTCTTATGTAAAATAACTTTTTTCTTAGAAAATGTAATGAGATCTAATCGCAGTGTAAAAAGTTTTGTGGGAGGGAGTATGGTTAAACAGAACTTGAATCTGAGCAAATTAACCAGACAGTTAAAAACCTTTCCTGTACAATTTATTTTAGAACTATCCTTAAAATGGTATTTTAGAATGACAAGAACTATCCTTTATATCTTATTTTAGAATGGCCAATGAGATTCCCAGATTTTAAAATGACCAACGAATTTTTTCTTGAAATCAGTTCTTCCTCGTAAATTTAAAGGAAGTCAAACTGATTTTAGACGGACTTTGGCCAAAAAAAAACAACACTTTTTCATAAATTTGAAACGCCACGATACTTTTATGACTTCATAAGTAATGCACTAATTTGTCATTAATTTAATTAATAGCAATTGTTATAAATGCTGCTAAACAAAATCAAAAATAATGTTAAAGGTAACGCTACCATTTAAAATTAGGATTTCATATATTCATATATTTTTCATATATTTCAGGGAACATTCTCTTTATGATATCAGTGCTCTTTTACAATAAATTATTTGCTTTTTGGACTTTGAAATAAAATGTAAGTAAATAAAAAAGTCTACTAATTAAGTGATAACATTGCTAATCATATACATGTGTATGCACTTATTTTTTACATGTTGATAACATGTAGTAAAAACTTATGAGGAAAAAAAACAACATGTATTGAATTTTTGAAAGAAAAAAAAAATAGTATAAATTTAATAAATGAAAAAACTGACCAGCTTAAAGAACATGTAGTGAAAACAAATTGACTAGAGCACTTCAATAACAAAATAATTGATTAAATTACATAACTGCCACAGTCACAAACTGTTTATCTGGATATTGTTTTGGTATATCCACATGGATACGTCACAAAATATGTTTGATAGTAACAACTCCCATAGAAAGGTACGGAATTCCATAAACGACAGCCTACTGCTCACTGCCTACTGCTAACTGGACAGCCTGCTGCTCACTGCCTACTGCTAACTGCTTATTGGCAGTCTAAATCTATGTATGGATCAAATAGAAGTATTCCGAATGTACACACATGTGCGCCCGCCATTTTGTTGAAAAAATCTGCTAAGTAAATTAAAAAGGTTTATTTTATAATTAAGCCTAATTATTTGTAATTTCGAATTCATTGCAATGACTTGTGTACGTCCCACCATTGCACACAGCATTGATTATGTTATGAAATGATTCCACGTGCCTCTTGCACAGGTGTTTGATAAATTGTCAAATATAGGACTCCTTTTAGGGTAAATCAACTTAATAATATTTTATTCACAAAGAATCTTTGTTCAACAATCAACATGGACGAACTTCAGCCCACTATTCCTCGGTAGAGAGGCGGAGATCTGGACCATTATGTCAACACTCCCTTATTTTATTTAGAATTTCATTGTTTATTAAATTTTCATTTGACAATGTTATACATTTCTAGAAGAATATCTGTAATATACTGGTGAAATCACGGGTGAAATTTAGGCTAAACATTCATAATCAAAAATGTGTGAGTTCATTTACGAGGTCATTTTGGTTCAGTTTTCATTGGCTGTTAGTTATAGCTTATAAATGTGTAATTCCTTATTCACTGCGGTATGCCGTACCCCGGATATTGCTCGATATTATGAGGACTTTCATCCCATTTCGCGACTTTGAACGGGGAACGAAGGTAAGTTCAGCGACGATATTTTCCAAACAAATGGCTATTTCATTTATCTCAACGGGTTTTATATATCTAGAGGTATTTTTGTAGCTCTAAAAGACGTAAAAGTATTACAGGTATTTGTAAAATTGATTAAACTACAACTAAACGATCCGCTGCTCACTAGAAAATACTGACCGCGATACTGTAGAATCGTTAAAAATTATTATATAACCAATATAAAAAAAAATGAATCGAGCAATTTTTTAATTCATAATCCAAGTATGCTCTGTCCAAATTTTAGACAAAAAGTGTGAAAGTACAAAAAGATACAGGCCAAAAAAGATATAAGAAAGTGTACCGAGTATTGATTTTAAGTGTACAGAGTATTGCAAAATAGCCCAACTTTAGTGTACATTGTATTGCAAAACAGAATGAGCACATTAGTATGGAAAATCGATATTTTTGT